CAATACATTAGTTTATTTATTGGGAGAATTAGAGAAATGAAGAAGAGCATAAAAAAGGTAAGATGCGATTTCGAGGTGAGACCCACAGTCCCCGCGTGTGCCGTTTTTATGCGTTTTTTTGCGGTAAATCAGCCTTCGTCGTCATCGTCGTCTCTACATATTGGGCCTCAATGCGTCATTTCAGCACTACAGGTGAGTGATGATGAGGAAATTTGCAAGAGGGGTACATCGATATTGGTAGGGAAAATGAAGCGCCAATGGATTGGCAGTTAAAGGGGAGAAGAATGAACTCTTTACCGATATCTCGCGTTTTCTGAAGAAAACAGGAGCAAGATGAATTTACTCTGCGCCGGATGCGTGGGCCAAAAAAAACTGAAGTTTGGTTTGGCCGATGCATCGCGGTTTTTCTGGAACATCTCTAAAACATCTACATTCGCTGCAGTGTCCTACCTTCGCACAATCTGAAGATTTCCACTGCGTATCATTATAATGAAAAAAGAAAGGAATTCTGGTAATGAAGAAGATGGATATTGTTTGAGATGAAGTTGGAATCACATGGTTTTTCTTGGCGTTTTTCTTGAGATGACGCCGAAAAAATAATTACATGGAAAACGATGGCTTTTCTGGATTTTATTTGGCGCCTCTCGAGATATATTCACAAGATGTCTCGAGATATATTCACGATATGTATACTGTAAAGTGACTTCATGCCCACGGCAATTTTGTTAGCTTGGATAAGTTGACAGTTACGTCTATCCTGCGATGAAAGTGACTGCATGCCGTAGTTCTCAGCTCGAGTTTGACACTCACTTGACACATTTTTCTTTTTCTCTCAAATTTTTTACGAGTGTCGAGCTAGAAAAATCGTGATAAATAATATCACCATGTTGAAAACACTGAAATACGAATGTGAAACGCAATCAGAGAGCATTTGCTGAGGCCAACAGAATGATGGAGCGAAGAATGCTTGGAGTATCTTTCGTCATAACTGTACAGACTGTGGGGCATTCTTTCAAATGAGTAGCATACAGGATATTGCTACTGCAATTTTAAACTATAAATCCGATGGGCAGGGCAGTAAGACATGTTGTTTCGTTTATCAGAAACAAGCGGATTGTGTGTATTAGTGAGTGGTACTTTGGAAAAGGGGAAAACTGTGACTCGGGCAACCTTCGAAGAAGTTTTCTGTGTGTGTGTGTATGTGTATGTATGTGTGTGTATGTATGTATGTGTGTATCTATGTGTGTGTGTATGTTGGCACAATTGGCGGCACAAAATGGGTCTGTGTAGCTGGTTTTAGCATCTCTCTACCTTGTTTAAGGCTCCTTCTTATTAAAACTAAAATTCCTCATCGGAGCTCTTCCTGAAGAAAACAGGGCAAAGATGAATAAGGTTTTTCTTTTGTTTTTTCTAATTTTTTCAAAAATCGAATAGCAGAAGTTGGTAGACCATTCTCTTAAGCTAGGTTAAACTGATTTGTACTGGTACATGTAATTCCTGCTATTTTTAGGCTGATGGACTTGAGCCAGAGCAGTTCCGAAAGCTGTTTATTGGAGGTCTATCGATAACAACAAGTGATGAGGCACTCAAGGATTACTATTCGCAGTGGGGTGAGCTAGTGGACTGCATTGTGATGAGAGATCCGTCGACGAAGCGTTCGCGTGGCTTCGGATTTGTCAGCTTTTCAAAGCAATCGGAGGTATGTTTAGTGCCAAAAAATTGTTCCAGTTCTTGAAGCATCCTGACTACTCACTTTCACCTCAGCAACCAGGAAAGCTAGGAGGCTGAAATTTTGGACATATATTCCTGCCTGTGTATCACTCTCCCGTTTTAACATCTTCCCCAGGATGCTAAAGTACTCATGCATACATGAATAGCATCAGTGCTGTTGGAAACATGCAGAGTTCTTGAAACATTTGTAATCATAGGCTACTGATCTGGATTAATCATAATTACAATCATAATCATTATAATCATAATGACATTTGTAATCATAGGTTTTGTTGAGTTCTGCTTCTTTTCATGGTCATCCTATTGGCGATCTTCATTTTTGTTTCGGCTTCCAAAGGGATTGCCGGTTT